TATATATATATATATTTACTTAGGTGACTTGATGGACGAAGAGAATGTATTGGATTTTCTTACGAGTTTGGAAGCTATGGATCTACCAGATCGTATCGAAGAAGTTAATGCAAAAATTTTGTCAAAGATTGTTGAGGAAACGGATTTTGTGGCAGTTCTCTTCTGTAAGTCATTTTTCTCATTATTAATCATTAAATTAAGTCTTAGCCAAAATTCGAAAGATCGAATTATTCGAAATGTGTTCAACATTCATCCTTTTCAATAAAATATCGTGCATGCAAATTTCGCTGTAAAATGTCTCTTAGAAAAGATTCTATGAAATACATATGTGAGATATTTTTAAAAAGTAGGCAAATTAAATTAAATAATTGTTCTGATCAATACTATCGAATGTTTATGTTCATCAAATCGTGAAATGTATAACTAAAAAAAGAAAAAATTTAATAGCATACTTCAGTGATTATGTAACAAAGAAACATTTTTCTCATAAAAATATTTTTAAAATATGTAAAACTAATATATTCAAAATATTAATGATTTAAAATGTAAGTTTAAAGATCACAAGATTACTTATTTATGCTTAATCTAAAGTAAAAAAAGATAATTTTGAATCAAATTAGTGTATAGAGTAATTTAAGAAAATTGTTTAATTCAAATGAACTAGCAAGCAATTGAAATAGCAGAAGAAAATGCAAACAGAGAATGAGAAATACGAAACAAGGAAGTCGCTCGCGAGTACGTAATTGAACAGCTGTAATTTATATGCACGGATGAATAATTTTTTTTACTAAGGGCAAAGACATGAAAAAAAGGGATAATTGGTCTCAACTGGCACCTCTGAATTTTTTTAGTCTGTGTATTCGTAAGATTTTCTATAGTTCGGCATCCATTCAAAACTAAGTTCTAGGCTAATAATTGTATCAGTCAACATCGAAAAATCAACGGTGCTACACAGTGATGTTACGTAATGTACCCTGATCCGTGTACCTATCGTCCGTTTAATCTGTTATTGTCCGACGTCTTACTAATCAATTGTGTATGTCACGTTTGCGATGGAATTGTTCGTCACTTTCCGCAGAATGCAAACTAACAGTAACATTACATCAATATTATAATTTTCCACTCAATAAAATAAATTTAATATACATATACTTTATATTTACATTGTTGAGTTAATTATAATATTAATGTAATATTTGTATTCTGCGGATCTGTACATAAAATATAAAAATCGCGATTAATTTCCCCGTAAATACGCTATAATTTTAAAATATTGTGTACTCTTGCCATATGCACGTTGATCATCATTAAACACAATAAATTAATAAAATGGCAAATTTAATGAGGTGGCTTTCAGATCTTTTGCTATCATTATTATGAAGCTCTTAATCATAATTACATATAGATACATATATATCACTATGTACAGTTTCATGTTCCTTGAGTTGCAGTTGTTCTAATTTCATGTATACAGAGAAGGATCTAAAGAGATATATTTTCTTATCGTTGTTTAATCAACAAACAAATGACACTAATGTCTATTTGTTATTAATCTGTTATTAATAGCAATCGTTCTCTGTATAAAATATTTACATCAGTTTGTCTATCTTATTTTATCTGTAAAGTTCACCCAATTATTGTTATTGTTTTTTATTGTTTTTGTTTTTTATTATCAAATTAAAATATCTTATTGCAAAATGGAAATTTTATATCAATAAGGATATAAATTTCGATAATTTCAGATCTGTCGAAAGTATCCATCCACTTTGCGATTCGATTACATACAAAATATACTTGTAAATAATACATATATGTGAAAATTTTTGTGTGTGTTGATACGAATAGGTCCAAATACGGAGCGGTGTGCAGGCATCGGTTCTAGTAAGTACATACTTATAAGAAATCGTGGTTAATATCTATGGCACAGTATTCTAACTTTTTTACACAGCAACACACATACACACGCACACACACACACGCGCGCGCGCGCGCGCGCGCACGCACGCACGCACGCACATGCATACGCAGAGCTATATGCATTCGATATCGGCTGACGCACTAATGAAAGATCACTTTGCTGTTCAATTGCAGTTATATACTACCATTGCAACGCTAAATTATTTTTTTCTTAAAGCGCCTATTCTTTTATTGCAGCTATATTTGATTATGATATCAGAAGCGAAGAATTATGAATTTTTTTTTCGTGAGATTATTTTTTTTCGTTCTTTTTTTGTGAGGAAGTGATTCTTCGCAAGTGCATCATCCGGAGTGGCGACATTGATATGCATTTTCATGTAACAACTTTTACTTATTCTTGACTCGATCTGCGTGTTCATCGATTATCAAAGTTGATTTATCGCATTCCTGCAGCACTTCGCTCAAATGTGCATATACAACGAGGGATACGAAGAGAAACAGATATCTAACAGATAATGGAGTGGCAAGAATATTTACACTCATGCATTTCACTTTTCAATGTACAATTTTTAATATACGATGAATTTTTAATATACATTTATGAAATCTTTTAGAAATTATTTTTAGTAAACTAGAATAATTGATAATAGTTTAAATTGTGTAATTGATAAAGAGTCGACTAATATCTCGAGCTTTTTGTTTTGCCTTTTATTATTTATTAGTGCTTTAAACTGTAATTCTTAGCTAATTAAAATATTAGCATTAAATATTTAATTATCATCCGCCTTTATAACCGTGTATCAATTAGATACAGAATATGTAGAATATGTAAAATGCATTATATATATTTCTGTTTAGAATAAAACAATGCATTAGAGTGAAATTTTGAAAATAATTGTGACTAATCGAATCGTTTCGATATCATTTGTATTTAAGATTATATTTTATAACCTAACATGTTTAAAGACGGTCATCCCCATTATTTAAAAACAATGAAATTGATATTTTATGAAGTTTTTCGATAACATGGCAAAATTTTATAATTTATATATTTTCTATTTGTTTAGTAATTACTAATATTGTTAGACATGAGTAACGACCTAAGAATAAAATTCAATTAAACTACCATAAGTTTTTAATTTTATATTTGTGGAAAAAACGCCATATATGTGGACGGAATAAAACGCTCGAGAGAATGGCGTTGATCATTTAACAACAGAAGCACGCAATAATGCATTTTTTTATTTCAAATGGGACAGACAAACCAGACTGCAAAAAGTGTCTCAAGGCCCTGCAAGAATTGGAGAACATCGATGACGAAGCCGATCAATTGGGCATTGGCTTCGTAAAAATTGCGGACGAGGAGCTGGCAGATGAGTATAATCTCGGTTCTCTCCCAGTTCTTGTGTATTACAGACATCAAATTCCAATTATTTATGAACGTAAGTACAATAGAACAAGAATAATATAGTACAAGCGTTGCAGCATTTAAATAATTAAAATTAAAACGCAATATACAATTTTAATTATTTAAACGCTAAATAGAATTAAGATAATTTTGTGATATTTACGTTAATTTCTTTTAAAAAATGAATCAGAATATTTCTTTACAGTAATAGTACATAATGTCTTATAACAATTTAGTGAAACTATACACATGGTTAACGACAAATTCGACAATTGAGTATCACAAATTTTTTATGTTACTAAAGTATTTTATTTTATCCTAGTTTAATTATATGAAGCAATATAGAGATGAAATTAACTCGCAGTACGTGCTCTTAGATGAGTTGAGTAGAGAAGAAGACGTGCTGGAATGGCTGGTAGCGAACAAGAGTACGGGAGATGAAGAGGATGTTATCGAAGATGTTACCGCCAAAACGTTGAACACACTAATTGGAAACATTGACAATTTAGTCGTTCTGTTCTGTTCGTATCTTTTTGATCATTTTATCAGCCTCATCTGTCTTGCCATTGTCTTGCTTTGTAATATGCTCTCGTGCTTGTAGATGATCACGGTGATGAAGACTCTATGCAGGTCCTAAATGAGCTAGAAAAGATCGACGACGATTGTGATAAGCACGGTATTCAATTCGTGAAGATCGACGATGAAAAGGCAGCGGAAGAATTCGGAATCGATGATTTACCGGCGATCGTCTATTTCGAGAAGCAGATTCCGAATGTTTACGACGGTGGGTAGGTGAATCGCACATACTGAGCGAAATGATAGTAATACTTTGGTATAAATAATACCAAAAAAAAATAAAATTACAGAAAAAAAATCGTATTAATTCTAGACTAATAAAAGAAAAAATTTGTAAATTATTTATGTAGATTAATTCATTCAGAAAAATAACACGATAATTGCAGGAGATATAGAAGATGAGGACGAAATTTTGGAATGGCTGTTGTCGCAACTCGAAAAGGATGAGATAGAAGACGTCACCGATGAGATGTTGGATCGTCTCATCAAAGATGGGAAGACGATAGCTGTATTGTTTTGTAAGTTACTTTTGTAAATTAATAGACGGATATTAGATTTAAATAATATTAAAACGTATTTATTATGATAAAGATGACAATAACGATCGGAAGTCTCAAAAAGTTCTCAATGAATTGGAGAACATTGATGATGAATGCGATCAGCTTGGCGTAACGTTTGTGAAGATCGATAATGCGGAGGAGGCTAAGGAATATGGCATTCAAAAAATACCTACGATGCTCTACTTTGAGAAGGGCATTCCGATGATGTATGAAGGCAATCTCGAAGATGAGGAGAAAGTGCTCAAATGGTTAGAGCAGCAGCAAAAGGCTGACCAGATTGAGGATGTCACCGACGAAATGCTTGATATGGTTGTAGACAAGATGCCGCACGTAGCCGTTCTCTTTTGTCAGTAACATACTTTTAAGACTTCTTTCTTCTCTATCTGATAATTGAAAATTGCGTTATTGCATTATTTTCAATTGTCGATATATGCTAACATAATTGTTGATATAATTCTATCGTTATTGTACAGATGACAAAGATCAGAAGAAAAGCCAAAAGGTGTTAAGTGAATTAGAGAACATCGATGACGACTGTGATCAACACAACATAGCCTTCGTGAAAATCAGTGACTTGGATGAAGCAAAAGAATATGGCATAGACACACTTCCCACTTTGGTGCTTTTTGAACGAAAGATACCACACATTTACGATGGTTAGTTTTTTGAAAATTTTCATTTATTTAAAAGAAAAGAAGAACAATTAATAGGGAAATGGTAAAGAAATTTTTTTCATTTGCGTTTCGCAGGCGATCTCATGAACGAAGATCAGATACTGGGTTGGCTGTTGCATCAGAAAAAACACGCCGAGATCCCGGAAGTAACGGACGAAATGGTCGAAAAGCTCGTAGAGACTTCGCCGTACATAGCTGTCCTGTTTTGTAAGCGATCGATTCGTCTTTCTACCTCCTTTTAACATTCTTCCACTGTTACTTGTTAGGTAGGTGCTGTTATATGGTCGCGAGTGAGAGCGACCAGCGAATTAATTCTTTTCCGTAGACGACAAGGACGATAAGCAGGACATGCGGATCCTGAACGAGTTGGAGAACATAGACGACGACCTAGAAAAGGAAGGGATCATCATTGTTCGCATAGACAATGATGCCGAGGCCAAGGAATACGGTATTGATCATCTCCCAACCCTGGTGTATTTCGAAGACAAAATTCCGGCAATATACGAGGGCGATCTACTGAACGAAGATGAAGTCCTTGAATGGCTGATAGAACAGAAGAATAGTGCTACTATCGAGGAGGTCACGGACGAGATACTGATGGATCTCATAGAGGATCATGAATACGTTGTGGTATATTTCAGTAAGCAAACATTTCAGTATTATCTACAGAAAGTCAAATTAATTATTAATAGTTTCATTGAGTTAATTGTATTAGAATTCCTTTTATAACATGTCAAAGACAGATATCTGAATAGTTCAGATAACAAAGGTTCACTAATTCTTCCTTTTCCAATACTTATTAATTCTGATAACAGAAGCTGAAAAAAGAAAATCGAAGTCGTCGAGTTCCTATTATCTGAACTACAGCAGCTATGAGATATTTGGAGCTAAGCAAATTCCATTTATATGAACAAAGTTCATATAAATGGAATGCAAATAAATGTGGAGTCCTATACTATATCCTCTTCAATTGCTTACGACATAATCGACCAAAAATTGTGACAGGTGGAAGTTGTGATGAAGGAGAGAAATGCGACAATATCCTCGAAGATTTAGAAAATATTGACGACGAGCTGGATGAAACGGGCATTATATTCGTTACTACCGAAGACACCACCACAGCAAAGAAGTATGGCATCAGGCATTTCCCAAGTCTCGCGTTTTTTCGAAACAAGGAACCGTTGATTTATACTGGCGATCTCGATGACGAGGATGAAGTATTGTCTTGGATTACCGATGAGGACACTTTGGAGATACCAGGAAAAATCGAAGAAGTCAATACTAGAATGTTGGAGAACATTCTCGACGAAAACGATTATGTCGTCGTCTTTTTCTGTATGTCAACCGCAAAATGATCAAATATACCATTATACAGAAGGAATAGTTTTGCTGAAGTATTTAAAAATTTAGCTAGATACAGATCTGAAAATAATTTTGTTACAGACAAAATAATTATGTAGAATGTTGAAACGTTCTTCAATATTATTCATTATGCTTGGAATCCTATAATTATTTTGATGGTCCAAAATTATTTTCAAATCTGTATCTCAATTTTTAAATAGAATATTCAGCAAAACCATTCTTTTCATGTATAACAATAACAATATTTGCTCATAGATAAAGAAGGCGATAAAAAGAGCCAAAAGATCCTCCAGGAGCTTGAAAACATTGACGACGAATGTGAAGAAAAGGAGATCGACTTTGTAAAGATTTCCGACGAGGGAATCGAAAAGGAATACGATCTTCCAGGATTACCGGCGTTGGCATTTTATAGACACAAATTCCGGCAGATCTATTCAGGCGACATGATGCACGAGGAAGAAATTTTGGAATGGGTCCTCGAACTTCGCACAACAACGCCAGATGTTATCGAAAGCGTCGATAGAAAAACATTACAAGTACTTATCAACGATGTTGAGCATCTCGCCGTGTTCTTTTGTAAGTATAAATTTTTAGCTAAATTTATGTATATATAAAGTGTTGTGTGAGAATTATAGATAAATATTTAATACCTACGATAAAAATAAGAAAAAATATCTAATGTATAAAAAACATCCTATATCTATTGATTATCTATGATATATTATTTATATCTTTTTCGATATATTTGTTTTAAATAATAAATAACTGGCTTAAAAATAGCCAAAAAATTCACTATTAAAACGCACTTAGAGAGCAAAAAGTATTCTAATATATAATAATATAAAATATTATTTCTTTTTTACATACGTGAAATAACACGCATATAACGTTTGTCTTTTCAGTGATTACATAATTAGAGTTTATAATTTCAAAAATAGCATTTTTTTCTAATAAAAATAATTTTAAAAAATATAAATTTATATTTTAGTATTCAGAACACGCTTTTATTTTTGCGCACTCTTATTTTTAAAATTCTATAGTAGATACATAATGTGAGATATATAATGAATTTCAGACATAATGTGAATTTCATGCTAATAAATGTACGCTAATATTATTATAAATTCTACGGGTCAAAATTGGCCATTGCGTATATGTTCTCGAGATCATATATAATAGAAAAATTATAATTTTTAATAGACGATGACAAATGTGAAACCTGCGCGGATATTCTCGAGGAATTAGAAACGATTGACGATGATACCGACAAACACGGTATTCAATTCGTCAAATCAAACGATGCTAAACTGGCGGCTGAAATCGGTGTTTTCTCCTTCCCGGCTCTCGTTTATTATGAGACCGGAGTCCCCATCATGTACGACGGTAAGTACCGAAAGCTTTAATTCTGTTTTTTTTATTATCGAGCTTACCCTACCTTCTTCATATATTCTCGTTGTTTTTTTTTCACGGAAAAGAAACAAGATTAAATTATTCTTATGCTACGCGTTCTCCCTTTATTAAGTCACTCTTCACTACCTAAAAATAAATTATCATTAATTAACGAAAAGATTTCAATGCAACAGAATTTCATTAATAATGCAGCGTGTTAGTCCATTTTTAGTAATCAGATTAAAAATCCCGGATTGCTACTAACTTTTCTTGAAAATTATATCAATATATTATAAATTCGAATCTATATGATCATAATGAAGAGTGACTTAGCGTGTTCCTTTCAGCAATTTCCACGTCGATAAAGCGATAACGCGAAACATGACATTGACAATGATCACGATGCGTTATCGAAGCTAGCCTGATACGCGTGCCTTTTGTAGGTAATCTTAAGAACGAGGACAGAGTTCTGGAATGGCTAATCGAACAGAAAAGTAAGGAGATTTCTAGGATGATGATTATTATTACTGGTGTACTGTTCTTTGTGACGTTAATCTCGGTCGTGACTATACCACCGGGCTACGAGTACAACACTCGCGCTGTGTTGATCACTCCGATCACATTACCACCTCAATTACCATGATTGCAATAATGATAAACGATAAAGAAGAAAAAAACGCAAATGAAATATCCGTCGAATCTAAGAGGATTTCCTGTAATCGTTTATTGCATATCTCGATTCGCGTAAAAAAGAATTTAAAAAAAGGGTTCGATTTAAAGTGTGGGAACGTCACGAAGCTCGGTGAAACGCGATTTTCAACATGCACGCTAGTCATATCATATTCTCACGGTATAATGCATTTAAATCACACTCGCAAGCTAATCTCACTTATATTTTGCCTTTTTTACTCGCTCTTCCATACTGTTACGTGCTAGTATACAATTACATCGACGCAATAATGCGGAACGTGTCACGTGATGCGTCGTACGAATCTTCTCAAGCCTATCTCACTTTCTAAAAGAAAGTGTTACGACCGTTGAATTACAAATAACGATTTTATGAATTGCTCAAATATTTGACGCTTTACATCTTGCAGCTTTCGGCGCACTAATAACGGCTATTCTACTTCTTTTTTTATTTCTTTTTTTTTGGACACGTTTAACAAAGCTTTCGTGATTTAAATCAATATAAAGTATCAAATCAATATAAAAGTATCAAAGTCGCGAATCAGTTTGTAAATTGTGGAAATTTGAACTATAAAGCACATTTTTATTTTGAAAAATTGGAGAAAAAAATGTAATGCGAAAGATATACAAACATATAGATAAATTCGTTTATTATAAATTTTATGTTTAGCAACTGATAACAGTAAATATCGTTATTAATTAATACATTTATATTGTTGTTCTTAAATTATTTGAGTAGAATAATTCTATGTAAGTTTTCGTAAGCACGATTGCTGCATCATATAAGTCCATACAGTGAACACTTTGATTATCTAAGTCTATTCATATTCTAAGTTTATTCATATTCGTATGATAAACGTGAAAACTGTAAATGTTGTAGAAAATGGGAAAAAAAACATAATATTTTTTTTTACATAATATAACAATTTTGCGTATGTAACAGAATTTCGGGAATGTTTAATGTGATGCGTCTATAACGTTTGTCATTAAAAAAATTTTTTATGCATGTCATCCCTTTGGACCGAGGCCATATCGATCACAAAAAACCTACGTACACAATTCGGTTTTAAATCGCGCTATATATTATCCATAATCCGTTAATATGCAGGTAATGATGATGATGATGATGATGATGATGATGATGATGATGATGATGATGATGATGATGATGATGATGATGATGATGATGATGATGATGATGATGATGATGATGATAATGATGATGACGACGACGATGACGATGACGACGATGACGAAGACGACGACGATAACGACAACGATGACGAAGACGACGACGACGACGACGACGACGATGATGATGATGATGATGATGATGATGATGATGATGATGATGATGATGATGATGATGATGATGATGATGATGATAATGATGACGATGACGACGACGAGGATAGCGACAAAAATAATAAAAAATCAAACAAAATTCTGAAGAAAATCCTGGACAAAGGTAAAGGCCCAACGACAACCCAGGAGGCCGAAGAGGAGCTCACGTGAGATCGAAGTGTGACGGGCTTTGTGTTGCGCGAAAGACAGAAACTGTACAATGATATCCTAAAAGCAGTAGAGAAATGTATACCAATAGATCGATTGGTATTCACTATAACAACGTAATTTAGATGAAAGTTGGCTGTTCACTCACTATTCACGATAGAACTGGGAGGTGTAGGACATACCTGCATGAACCTATTGTCATATTTTACTCACACTAGCAAAGTGCATCCATATGCCTAAATTATCTCCCAATCGGTCATCAGTTACCTCAAACTCCCTAAATCTTTTTCGCGTAATGCATGCCCGCCTTATAACAATCCTTCGTTGACGGAGCTACGCAACCAAGCATTGTCATAAATTATTCTTAATTCGTAATTTTGACATAAAATCTTTTGATATTATAGTATAAAATATATTAATTTGATAGAATATTTTATTTACATAAACGAAATGTCACGTTCAATTTTTTTTTTAAAGAAAATTAAATACTTCGAAAAATTTATGGTGCGTAACTCCTATTTTGTTTGCATTTTTACCAATTGAAATACGGGCTTCTCCGAAGCGAGCCGATGGTTTCTGTTGACAGCTGTCGTCTGCAGCAAATTACGAGTCGAAAGAAATCGGACTAGTCTCCGTTCAAAAAAAAAAAAAAAAAAAAAAAAAAAAAAGAAAAATAGCATTGCTAAACAATTTTGGATTAATATGAGTTCGCGAATAATTTATACATTAATTTTTTTGTTACAAATGTATATATTTCTTATTCATTATTAAATAACAATATGGAAAACGCAGTCATACGTAGAAGTCATGAAGAGGAGGCTGGTTAACGTTTGAACGGTTATCTAGAAAGAGTCGTCGACTCGTCGCGAGAATTTTCTATTAAAACATTGTCTATTAAAAACATGCACGTTTGGCTTTTGCTAAGCAATTGGGATTGCAGTGGAACATTCTCTATGCGCTAGCAACGTCGAGATCGCACGAGTCAATATATTTTCGTTTCATCTTCTCTCTTTTTTTATTTGTTTCCAATGTCTTATTAATTTCCCTCTTTATTTCCTTCTTTTTTGTCCTTCTGCCTATTTGTTCCATTATATTCATTTCGATCATTTTTATCCGTGGTCCTATTTTTATTATTTAATTTAGATTGACTCGTGCGACGAGACCAATCAGTCATAGGCTAGCCAATTCTTATAAATCTCTCATTCTCCTTGTATCTGACTCGTTGTATATTTGCTTACTGCAGGCGACGGCTGTTTCTACATCGGGATGGGAGGTAAAAGCGCGAAACCCAAGATTCCCTCCTATGAGCCCTACCAGTGCTGTCCCACCAAGCTCGGCCACGGCACCAAGGTCGCCAAAGTCACCAAAATCGGCCCGATTACCAAGGACAAGAACAAATTTCAAGGTACCGGCAGAACGGATAAGCCACTGCTGCCGGCTTTGAAGCCAATAAACAAGCTTACGGCCAAGGAGAGCAAAAAATCAGCGACGATATCGAGAATCGACAACGATGCAAAGGAATCCAAATCCAAGGCCAAAAGGGGATTTTTCGGAAGCGGTAAATATTTTAATCGGCCACGAAGTTAAATGGCTGCCCACGCGTACGGTCCATCAGTCACTTTGGCAAACTAAAACGTAAGCATGTTCGCCAGGAAAAACAAATTTTCATCGACAATCGTCGCATTGATTTCTTCAGAATGAAATGGAATCGGATAACAAATGTGCAAATAATTGAATCGAAAGGCAAGAACGATTAGATCGTCTGTTGTGGGTAGCGATTTAACAAGTTGTCTTCTTTTCGGAAAAGAAACGAGCGATGAACGCGATAAATGCTTAGTATAACAGACGGGAAAAGAAATAGTGAGCTCGAAGATAGATTTTTCTGAGAGCCACCCGGCACGGAGAAGGTTCGCCGCAGCGGAAATAAGATCACGGTCACCTGATTTTTCGTCCTCGTATCTCGGATGCAGGTACTTCGCGGGTCTCGCGCGATCCATGAAGAGCGTCAACGACGCACAACTTCCGGACGAGCAAGACGATCGAAGATTCGACACGTGACTTCCACGCGGCTCTGGCACCAGCACCGGCTGAATTCTTCGAGTCCTCGAGTCGTCAGAATAACGGGCATCGATTTATTTGACGTGCCGATCGATTTACTAGTTTATCGGACTATCAATGATTCGGCCAATCATTCTCAAAGTGTAATCCCTTATCATAATATAGTAATTCGATGATGGAGCTAAGGTTATTTACGAATCACGAGAAGCTACGCTCGCCTAAACAATTAACAATTTTATATTCAATTGTATATTCATGCATTATTGTTAACAAAATGACTATCGCAATCTTCGTTTCGGTATATACTTGAAAGAACAATTCGTAAAGTAACCTAGCTCCTAATGTTTGTAAAAATCCCCCGTTCGTAAATACATTTCTTATAAATTATATGCATTGGTCGATATAAAATATCTATTCTGAATTCGGACCCCTCGAATATACACCGTCATGGAAGAGGACAGACGAGACGACAGAAGCATATTTAAAGTGTAAAGGCGCGAAAGATCGTGAGAATGATTTTTCTGTCCTCTGTTCCTCTCACTGAGAGTTGGGTCGGGTTGTGGGTTGTTGCAGTTGTGGCTGGAATACCATACCTCATGAAGGTCTAAATGGCCGACACGCACATCGGCGTCTGGACGCGCGAGGTCAGGCTGTGAACGCCGATTAGGAAATGAAGAAAGAGGACTCTCAGGACGATGGTCGAACGAAGGAAAAATTCGCTCGACAGAAAAATCCGCGCAATGACGGAAGAAGCCAGGTGCTCTATGCTATCATGTGCTAACAGCTCGAAAAAGATAAATTTCGCTATTGAGCGAGTAAAGATTTCATGTTTCTTAAAGGAAGGAATATCTCATTGTCATTTAACACATTGTTGTCGTCATTTATCAATTATCAATGATATTGTTCCATATTTGTCGTCGAATTCACTTTCGTCATTATTGTTATCATTGTCAACGTCATCATCATCATCATCATCATCATCATCATCATCATCATCATCATCATCATCAGTGTCATAATGTCATTTTCATCGCTAGAGTCATCAACTGCGTCATCTTTCTTCGCGATGTATTCATCCGTGTGTCATGCGCAGAAAAATAAATGAACATCCGCGAGCGATTTTAATGTTTCTGTTAATTGTTATGTATGTAAGGAGCTTAGATATAAACGCATCCTACGATCGATAAAAGGACGTTATAGAGAAATAATTCACATCGGCTGTGCGTATATGATACTGAAGAGATTAGAGAAGAGCCAGTATATTCAATAGTATATCGGTCCGGTATCTGCCGATTATCACGCGATAAACAGAATTATTCTCGCAACGTATGCATTTTTTATATAGAATCTCGATCCTTAACATCCGACCGTCGTCTAACGCTGAATATTGTTTATTGGTTTTGTTTTATCCGTTAACCCGTTAACGTCACGAAGAGCGATACCGTCGATTTGTTGCATTTCATCGATAACATTCACACTCAGTAATAGGTAGGACTTTATAGTGTAGAAAAAAGGAAATGTAAACAATCGCTTTTGTCAAGATTATGAATAGTGTTCTACCTAGATTGCGGTATATACGCTCTAGCGTTTAATTTAACATGAGAGAGATTAATCGTTTGTAAACTAAAACCTTTCATTCTGGATCCTCCGTTTTTTTCGATTTCTGTATTCTTTCTCTTCTATCCTAATAAAGCCTATTGATCCTCAAACTAACCTTCCTCTTCAACAACATTATACTTATAAGACTAAAGAGATCTCAAGAATGAAATGAAAACTGGGCTGAGGTCCAGAGGTTAGCGCGAAGCTATGAACGAATGTCTTGCCTATGATTTTATTTATATAACGAGATTTCTTAGTAATACAAACAGTTCCTACAGTGTGTTTATGTCAGTCTTCTGTTTTAAAGTGAAAAGAAATCTGATTTGCTATGAATTACAAATCATCATTTCGACAATGCCGATTTAAAAAGACTGAATTTAAAATTCGATAATAATAACAGTTACTGAAATTATCATCTCACCATTAAAGTTTCACAGAACTTATGAGTTTTTGGGATTAGAATAATATAAAAATACATACATTAAAAATATTATTTTAACAAAAATATTATCTTGACAGACTGTATTATCTGAAAAAAAAATGCATCATACATGTAAATAAGATTTTGCAAATATAATTGTGATTGCGTCTCTTATTTATTAAAATATTATTTATAAAAATATTACTTTTAATTCCGGCATAAATAAGTTCTGCTCTTCCTTTGCAATATATTGAAAATCGACATGTTACATCCATATATCTTACATCTCTGCTTATCTAGCTGATTGCATAAATTTACAATGAAGAATAGCCTTTCGAAGAATCGCGATTAGATCGCGCGAAAAGAGCCATGATAAAGATATCTATTTATTTATTTATTTATTTGTAATTAAAATACTTCTTGTCTCATGTGTTCGCCGTGTTTTGTCGCTCAGTGTCCGATAATCTGCGCAAGATACAAACACGTCATCAGGAAATTGTTGAGTTACAGGCGAAATTCGTATAATATTGTATCGCGACCTAAGAGCGTAAAGTCGATCATCTTAGATATTTTAGAAAATTGTCGCGTCATCAACGAACGAAATTTTTTGTCGCACTGTATCTGTGATCACGATTATCAGACGTCATGAATTATTGCTCGTGAACGTTGCGTGCGAGTCAATAAGTTCTTGTTATTCGCATAAGAGCAGCATGTATAATAAAAGTTAATTATATGATAACAATAAATATATTTCCTAATATATCCTTTGTATTTGCTTTATCCACCATCGCTCTAATAATAGTACAAGCTTTATTATTGTATTGTATATACGCTTACATGTTCAATTCGATCGACAAAAACTCACATTAAAATTACATAAATTATTTGATGTAGGAAAATTTAAAAAGTATAAAGATAAATTATTTATCTCAATTATATTCAGCAAAATTCAAATATTTGTAAAAATAAAAAGTTTATTTTGATTAAGCATACTTATAAAAATAAAATTAAACTAATTATTATTTGACAAAATCTCTAAACAAGTTTAAAGTTAAAACATTTTAACTTTATTTGTTATTGTTGTTATACAATCTCCCCTCAACAAATTAAACATATTTATGATCTCTTAATTTAATGTGTGATAAAATCATATTATTAAATATATATAATTTCGTCATTATAAACAATCTTTACATATTTTCATGATAAACAACAGTTTATGAAAAAAATTGATAGAAATGAATAGCCATTCCAGAACAACGATAAAATAAATCGCTATATCGATGTATTATTCTTTAATAAACTGAATTGTTGTAAATTAAGAAAATTAAAAGATAGATCCAAAAGATCTCTAATATATTTAACTAGAAGAAAGTTGGTACAGAAATCTGTCAAAAAAGCCTCAAACAAGTCTCAAAAAGCTTCAAAAGATCCTCAAAACGGAATAACTTTCTTTGGGCTTCAATATAATGTTTTATGCTTAGATATTTTGACTAAAAATATATATATTTAGCATTATATATTTTAGAATTATATATTAAACTACATGTTTCATTATCATATTAAATACAAAATTATCATCATTAAATACAAACTATCATAAATTGCATTAAAGATCTTTGATACATATGCTTTCCTTAAGAAAATAACTTACAGAATATCAAAATATTTAACATAATAAATAATTAGCATACAATGAATAAATTTTGATATATAAAGTATTGATTAAAATTAATTACGCTAGCTCAGTTTGTAATGGAAAATAAAATAAAAATAAAACTAAACTTGAAAATAGGAATAGATAAGATAACTAATGTTCTATATATATATATATATATACATATGTTCAATTCGTTTCTTGTTCGCATAAGGATAATAAATTGTAAAGGATTTTATTATATTTTTCTTAATAATATTAGAAAATATTTAAATAGCTCATATATAAATTGTAGAGATCTTTTTCCGAATTTCGGAGAAGATACTATTTGTTGCAGCATTAATTCGACTCTGACTAGTAAAATATTGGACAATTAATGAATTATCAACTGGGCTATGTATATTAGGTAATCTTCTCGACGAAACTGAAGTACTCGAATGGATGGTGAAACAAAAAACTGATGAGAGCATTGAAGAAATCGACCGTGAGACTCTCATCAAATACATCGAGACGAAAGAATTTCTCGCTGTTATATTCTGTAAGGAACAATTTTGAATCATTGTATTTTACATAAAAATAGCAAGTAATGAGGAAACTTATCTATCTTGTTTTCTTCATTTTTTATTCATTCTTTATCATTTTAAACATT